TTTTTATATCTGGGTGCGGGGATTTGCAGTATTCCTTGCATGTTCTTCCAGTTCTTCGGATGATGATGTTTTTTTTTTTTTTGGAAAATTCTGTATTGAATCTTGTGCGCGCGTTCTTTTTCTTGGTCATCTGTTAGTGCCTATTCGGGTCATAGCGTGTAACCTCTCATCGGCCTCTTATATCGATTCTGATCGACACACTTTCCTTCATCTCTTTGCTGACCGATCATCGTGTCAGTAGATTACCCCGTATTGCTTTCTCGTTTTCTCTTATATATTTCGTGTCGATCCTGATAAGTTGACTAGATTTTTTGTCTTATTCCGTACTGACTTTCATTCTCGATTCTTTTTCTACTAGCGTCCTATTCCGACTCCTTCTGTGAGACGCTTGACAAGCTGATCGACAGAGGGCTCGACCAGTCTGACGATTCAGTTGAAATAATCAGCTATAAGATGACCATCTCCCCTCAATCCTCTTCTTCTCATATTTCTGCGTCGGGTGTCGATTGGGCCGAGTATGATCAAGCGATGTTGGCGAGTGGTCTGGTAGGTATTCCCGAGAGCCCTCTTCGTGGAGATTCTCCTCGTCTCGATATGTTTCCCCAAGGTATTCCGATTAGGCTGCTAGATATGCCTGTGTATAGCACAAGCCCTGTACCTATACCAATAATTGCCCCTCTCATCGATCCCCGAGAGGTTGTCTCTATGGCCTGCCCTTTGGCCAGATTGGCGGTTCTTAACCCTTTCTCTCATGCCTCGATATCTCAATTCAAGGAATTTAGGCGGTTCAGTGGGCTTCCCTCCGACTGGGAATTGACCGCTCCTGGTCCAGACAGCGACTATGCTCACCCTCCTCAGGACTGTTATACCTTTTTTGTCGACCAGGTCCTCTTTGGTCTCCGTTTTCCCGTTCAAGTCGAGCTTTTAGAGATTAGCGATCTGTACAATATTCCAATAAATCAATTTTCTCCTAACGCTCTATGTATCATGATAGCATTCATTGTAGTTTCCCGTATAGTTCTTCGTTTTTTCTCAGCCGAATTCTTTTATTACTGCTATAGTTACCGTCTTCAAAAGGGAGCCCATTGCCTAATACGCCGTCCCGGCGTTTCCTTCCTTGACGATCTTTCTTCGAAAACTCCGGAATGGAAGTCGAAATTCGTCTTCATTCGTCCCCCGGTCGGTGCTTTTCCTTATGTGAATAATTGGATTGGCACCAAAGTTAAACAAAATAAACGATCTCGTTCTGAGAGATTCGAGGGGCTCATCGAAGAGCTGAATAAACATACGTATAGTGTTCGTCGTATAATAAAGGATCGTGCATTAGTTAATCATGCTCGGATTGTTCTATATGATGATATTTCTCGGCTCGACGATCCCCGTAAGCCTTTTCTTCTTTTTCAAAATTCTTCTTGATGTCGGCTTTCCGTTCTTTTCCCTCTGTTTCCGCATGTCTCATTATGCTTTTTGTTTTGTTTGTTTTTTTAGTTAAAGCACTCAAGCGCTTCGAGGTAAAGAAAAAACCGCCCACAGGGCGGTTGACGAGTGGATCTGCCCCTCCTCCACCCGGCGGGTCTGGTACCAAATCGACAGCCGCGGTTAAACGGCCAAAATCTGCGGGTCAAAGTGCCAGTAAGAGGCCTCAAGACGAACGCACCCCTCCACTGCTCCGTGTCGACTTTAAGCGCCCCAGAGTCGACAAAGGCAAAGAGAAGGTGTCCGAGGGAAACACGGCCTCGGCCATCTCTTACAAAGACGTGATGGTCAAAATGCCTTCCCGTCTCTGGAATCATCCAGACCCACACAAGGTGGCAAGGTACCTCAACTCTCTCCTTCCGGAGGCCGACAAAGCTCGTGTCGAGGGGAACGACTACGAGCGTTCCTGCTATGCTACCCAATGTCTTACCCGGGTATTCTTCTTTCGCTTGAGCATGTCATGTTCTTTTTATCTCGATTCATTTTCTCATTTGTTTTTTTTTTTCAGTTTCTAGCGACCGTGCTTCCTGGCCTAGAAGCGGGAACCAAGGCTCCGTCTTCCTCCATGAAGGCTCTCGAGGATAAGTACGGGGCTCAGCAAAAGCAGATCAAAAAGCTGAAAGAGGAGTTAGAGGCTTCGAAGGCTCTCGTTGACAAGCTAAAGGCCGACAAAGCTGTGGCCGTGCATGAGAAGGAGAAACTTGAAGCTGAGCTCAAGAAAGCTCAAGAAGATCTCGTATTCGAGAGGGATGGCGGCATTGTGCAAGGCCGCAAGTTGTTCTTAACATCCGCCGTAGGGAAACGCTTCCTCGAGACCTACCGCAAAGAGGTTGTCGAGGCATTTTGCAATTCGCCCGAGTTTCTCGACAGACTTTGCCCCGCTGCCGTTCAATACTTTGACCATACCTTCGATGCATGGGAAGAAGTGGTGTCAGGGTCCGAGTTTGATGGGAAACTCGACCGCGAGGCGATGAGGATGGTGCTTCCTGACCCTGATGGCTATACTGGTGACCCGTCTCTCCCGGATGACTATCAATGGTGGTTGGGACTCGAGGCCAAGGCCGTTCAAGCGGCTGAGCTATCCTATCAACTCGGGGTTCCTCCGCTCCCCCCGACCAACCCGACTGCTGCTGATGGCTATGCAGACGGTGCCGAGAAGTCGGATATCGACTCTTAAAGTTTATGCATCTAGATTGCTATCTTCCATTTTGTCTTTGCCCCTCGCCCTTTATTTCCGATTTGTAAAGGTCGAGGTGGTTTCCTTGTATTGGCTTTATGTCTGAATATTACCTCTTATTTTCTCGCTTCGCTTTACGGCCATGAGCCTGAGGTTATCATACCTATTTAAGACTGACTTTGTAGTTGTAAATCTATCGCGGTCATCTCTCCACTTGCAACTCCTGTAGTTGCTTAAATCGACTTCCTAATTGTATTCACAACACGATTATATTTTAAGTTAAATTGGTTTCGTAGTCGTATCCCCTTCGATGTATTATAATTGCTTCGAGTTACGACTTCATAATTGTTGAGGTTGACTTCACAGTCGTATTTTTATTCGAGAGTCCACTCGAGTTCACAACGTAGTTGTTTGAACCGGCCTCATAGTAGTATTCTTTATCCGAGAATCCACTCAGGCCTCAACTTCGTAGTTGTTGATGTCGAGAGTCTACTCGAGTTCACAACTTCATAGTTGTTTGAGTCGACTTCATAGTCGCATTCTTATCCGAGAATCCGCTCGGGTCTCAACTTCGTAGTTGTTGATGTCGAGAGTCTACTCGAGTTCACAAATTCATAGTTGTTTGAGTCGACTTCATAGTCGCATTATTATTATCCGAGAATTCGCTCGGGTCTCAACTTCGTAGTTTTTGATGTCGAGAGTCTACTCGAGTTCACAACTTCATAGTTGTTTGAATCGACTTCATAGTCGTTGTAAATTTCTAAGGAATACTATTCGTATGATCGATCGTGATAAGGCCGATATGCGCAAAATGTACAATGATAATTCAACCATCAAATTAGAATTCATTTCATTACTGAATTTGATCTGAGATTTTTAGTACAAAAGAAGCTTTAATCGTGGTTCTAAGCATAAAAGCGTTTAAGATGAATTACATGACAAGAACGGGGCAACTGTCGTCCATCCCTATCTTCCAGCTCATAGGCTCCCCTCTCGAGGACTTTTGTGACCGTATAGGGTCCTTCCCAGTTGGCTTCAAGCTTTCCGACGTGCTTCATAGCATCAGCTCGCTTGAGGACGAGGTCCCCTACTTGGAATCGCCGGGTTCTGACTTTTTTGTCGAAAGCTGCGCGCATCTTTTGCTTGTATTCGATCGACCGTAACAAGGCCTCTTCTCGTTCTTCTTCTATCAAGTCGAGGGCTTCTTTTGCTATTTCCTCGTTCTTTTCTTGGTCAAAGAATGTCGATCTGTGTGAACTTAGCGCGATCTCTACTGGCAGGAGGGCGTCCATCCCATACACCATACTGAATGGTGACTGACCTGTCGAGCTTCTTGGTGTAGTTCGATACGCCCATAAAACAGTGGTCAGCTCATCAGTCCAGGCTCCTGAAGCCTTCTCTAATCGCTTTTTTAGCCCCTGCAGGATGGTTCTATTCGTCACTTCGACCTGTCCGTTTGCCTGGGGGTGAGCGACCGAGGTGAACCTTTGCTTGATTCCCATGTCGAGACACCATGCCTGTATTCGTTTTCCTTGAAATTGAGTTCCGTTGTCCGAGATTAGTATCTTCGGTACCCCGAATCGGCAGCATATATTGTTAAACAAGAACTGAATCATTCTTTCCTCAGTGATTTTTGCAAGCGGTTCTGCCTCGACCCATTTGCTAAAGTAGTCGACCGCAACTACCAGGAATTTCCTCTGCCTTGTCCCCATCGGTAAAGGACCTACCAAATCGACCCCCCACTGAGCGAAAGGTATCGGCAAACTAATTGTCGTCATGGTTTGAGCCGGAATGCGAGGAATCGAACCATGCCGTTGGCACCTGTCGCATGTTGCACCAACTGTTCGGCCATTCGCCTGATTTTTGGCCAATAGTATCCAGCCCGTAAAACCTTTCCCGCCAAGGCTCGGGATCCGACATGAGCACCGCAACATCCCTCATGGACTTCCCGCAAGACATAGTTGCCCTCCTCCTCTGAAACGTATCTTAAATGGGGCCCGACATACGACCTCTTGTATAGTGTTCCTTCGACTTCAAAATATTTACTCAGATATCGGGCAGCCTTTTCGGCTTCCTGCTTATCTCCTGTTGGTACTCGTTTTTGCAAAAGCCCTCGGATCGACATTCTCCAGTCGTCTTTATCTCACAGTTCCCCATCACTTGACCCACAACAAGCTGCGAGTCCGAATGAGCTGTAATCTCTGACGCCCCACCGCCTATTGCAAGTTGGATACCCTTGATTAGCGCTTCATATTCTGCTTCATTGTTCGAGGCCTTAAAGCCCATCCTGATGGCAAAATCGATTTGTTCGCCCTCGGGGGAGACTAGGACAATCCCAAGTCCTGACCCCTTGGCTGCTGAGGACCCATTAACGTGCATTACCCATTTCTTCTCGTCCCCCTTAGTTCCTTCTTGGATGAAATCCGCCAGGGCTTGGGCCTTTATGGCCCGCCTGGGCTCGTATCTGATAGAGTATTCACTTAACTCGACTGCCCATTTGACGAGTCGACCTGATAAAGTGGGCCTACCCAAAGTTTCTCCCAACGGAAAGTTGGTTCTCACAATAATCGTATGATTTAGGAAATAAGGCCGCAGCTTTCTGGCTGTTATTACTACTGTCAAAGCGGCCTTCTCGACGTCTGAATATCTCGAATCCGCACCTTGAAGCACTCGGCTCGTGTAATAGATGGGGTGCTGGGCGCCTGCAGACTCTCGCAACAATATTGAGCTCAACGAGAATGTTCCCACTGAGATATATAGCACCAGCTCATCGCCTGGCTCTGTCTTGGTTAATAGCGGAAACTCGCTCAGAAATTCTTTAAGCTTGTCAAATTCCATTTGTGCTTCGTCGCCCCATTGGAAGGTTTTCTTTTTAAGCAATTTGAAGAACGGGAAGCTTCTCTCTGCCGCCCGGGCGATAAATCGGCTTAGCCCGGCAATCCGACCCGTCAGGACTTGCACGTCCTTGATGCTTTTTGGAGGAGTCATATCGATTATCGCCTGTACCTTATCCTTGTTGACTTCGATTCCTCTTTCGGTTACCACATAACCGAGAAATCGTCCTGCCTTTACTCCGAAGGCACACTTATTTGGGTTCAATTTCATCCCGAACGTCCTCAACGTTTCGAACGTTTCTCTTAGATCCTTAGGATGCGAAGCCGAGGACTTGCTTTTTACTAAGATGTCATCCACGTACACTTCCATATTGCGCCCTAACTGAGATTTGAACATTCGATCCATCAGCCTTTGATAGGTGGCCCCGACATTTTTTAGCCCAAACGGCATGACGACATAACAGTACGTGCCTCTGCTTGTCACAAAGCTTACTTTGCTTTGATCCTTTGGGGCCAACGGGATTTGGTGGTATCCCGGCGACGCATCCATCATGCTTAACAACTCACAGCCCGCTGTCGAGTCGACCAGCTGATCGATTCTCGGCAGCGGATAGTGGTCCTTCGGGCAAGCCAAATTCAGGTCACGGAAGTCGATACACATCCGCCATTTATTCAGTGCTTTCCTCACCATCACAGTATTAGATATCCACTCGGGGAATTGGATTTCTTTGATATGTTTTGCTTTGAGTAGCTTATCGACCTCCACCTCAATCGCTTTGTCAATCTCAGTGCCGTGATGCCTGAGCCGCTGCTTCACAGGCTTCTTGAGAGAGTCAACATTGAGTTTATGCTCCATAATGCCTGGGTCGATTCCTGTCAATTCTTCGGGGGAGAAAGCGAATATATCCATGAACTCCCTGAGCAACTCCACCAGTTGCTTACGCAACTCCTCCTCCAACTTCTTCCCGATTTTGGTGACCTGATCCTCTCTTTCCCCGATTTGTATTTCCATCAGCTCCCCATGCGGCTCGAGGTCACTTCCCCTCGGCCTCTTTTCAATCGATATTGGCTTTCCTTCTTTCACTTCCGTCCTTTGGTTTGTTTTTACTGCTATCTGGTAACACGTTCTTGATAACTTTTGATCTCCTCGGGCCTCCCCGACTTTATTCCCAACGGGGAACTTGAGTTTCATGTGGTAAGTCGATACAACGGCTTGAAATGCCTTAAGGGCTGGTCTTCCCAGAATCACGTTGTACGCTGACTCGACATCGACTACGACAAATCTTATCATTTTGACCTTCCTCAACTCCCCTTCCCCCAGGACGACCGCCAGCGTGGTTTCTCCCAGGGGGGCAACCTCCGAACCATTGAAACCAAAGAGTGATGTATGTAGTGGCGCTAAGTCGAGATCCAGCTCCATCCTCTTTAGGCAGTTGTAGAAAATTACGTTCACCGAGCTCCCGGTATCGACGAATATTCGTTGTACTTCGTATCCCTATACCTGGGCCGTTATCATCAGAGCATCGTTATGTGGCCTCTCGATTTCGCCCATATCAGTCGGCCCAAAGTGCATCACCAGGCCACTCTCATTGACTTGTTGCACCTCCGCTTTGTCGTAACGCCGCCGAGCATATGCTTTCCTGGCACGATTCGAGTCTCCGTCAGTTGGTCCACCAAATATCATATGAATCACCCCTCTCTTCTTTGGGAATTCTTCTTTATCGGGGGTCCTTGCCATCTTACGATGGCTCTTGCTCCTTTCCCGATGTCAACTAGATCTCTCTCGATCTTTGTAAATGAATTCTTTCAGGTGTCCGGCTTTGATTAATCTCTCGATTTCATCCTTGAGGTGTCTGCATTCATCCGTATTGTGCCCATAATCTTTGTGAAATCGGCAATACAGATTGCTCTTGGGTTTTGTCGGCCCATCCTTCCTTGTCCGTGGCCACCTAAAAATATTATCGCGTATTTCCTTCTCCATAACTTCCAGAATCCTTGCATTTGGAACCGATAATGGTGTGTACTGAGTCGACCTCCACCCCCTCGACCGTCCTTCTTTTTCCGCCCTCAGAGGCTCCTTCCTTTCTAGCGCAGGACTCGGCTTCTTTTCTTTTTCTTCCTTTCGGGACTCAGTTTTCCTCCTGGCCACTTGCAAAAAATCAGCCTCTGCTTCCTCGACGTTCATGTACTTGGCGCATCTCCCCAAAACCTCATCAAAGGTCCTCCTGGGTCGCTTTACCAGGGAATTTCTACACAACCCCGGGAGCAGTCCTCTAGTGAGTCATCCTGATTTGATTTCCTCGGATGCGGAGGGCACATCGACACATGCTCGCGTGTATCTTGCCACGTATTCTCGCAACGACTCCCCCTCCCTCTGCTGCATACCTATCAGAGTGAGATATGATTTCTCCTGGGCCCTCACGCTTGCGAATTGATTGAGGAGACTTGAACTGAACCCGTCAAAATCCTTGATAGCTCTGGGGGGTAATTGGTGGAACCAATCATGAGCCGGCCCTCGCAGAGTCGTCAGGAAGGCCCGACATTGAACTGGGTCACTGTATCGGTGTAGTACCGCCATGTTTTCAAAGCTTCTCAGGTGTCGGGAAGGGTCAGTCGACCCATCGTACCAGATATTGAGCTCCCTGAACCCCTGTGGTAGGTCGGCGTCTAGTATGTGTTGTGAGAAGGGATGTCCTTTCGAGCTCCCTGCTTTTCTCCCCTCGACCCGGGCCTGTAAATCCCACACCTGGGCTAGCAATTGTTCCAGGGTGTCGTTTTGGGCCTGTGGGTTGATAGTTCGAATAGAGGATTCTTCTTCGTCTGCCCTTTGGTTCTGCCTCTCGCGCGATTGCGCTTGTTGTTCAGGAGGTGGTTCGTTCTGAGGCTGTTCGATTCTCGCCTGCTCGACCCTGGTTTGCTCGACTTGTGCTTGCCTCACTTGGGTTGCAACGGCCTCCGCTATCATTTTCTGCATCTCGCTCCTTGTCACAGTCAGAGTCTGCTCCTCGACTCGAGGTGGGGGTCTTGCTCCTTGGCCAAGCAACTCGGCCTGTCCCCCCAAACTTAGGGATGTTTCAGCTCACTCGCGCCCGCTGGCTCCTCCGCTCGTTTCTTGCACGTGACTAGCATTTCCCTGGGTAAGCACCGGGATCTTGACTCCCGGCGGAGTGACAGGCGTCTCCTCCCCTATGCGCGCTCCGGTCGCCGCGGGCATCCCAAATGGTGGAAATCCCAGTACTTGCAACGGTGGTCTGAGGCCAGGAACCGGTGGAGGTCGCTTGTCAGTCCACGCCACCCTGAAATCCTCGCTCAAATTCTTCTGCAACCCCTCTTTCTCCGCCATTAGGGACAGATCCAAGCTTTGGGTGTGAAGCTCTTAATTCCTTCAAGAACTCCCCAGAGACGGCGCCAAAATGATGAGTCCTTTTCCAGATCTGGTCTGAGCCGGTGATGATAAGCCCAAATCTGAAGTGAACCGGTAGGAAAAAGCCTAGATCCGCCCGAACTCCAGATGAAACCTGTAAAGAACTCAACGCCGGAGGGGTTTCCAGCGTAGAGCCTCCGACGCTCAAGTCAGTATCTGAGGGAGATAAGAGCAACAAAATGGGGAAAATGTGGAATGAATGAGGGGTTAGGGTTTAGGGTTACCTCAGCTCCTTATATGGGAGTACAACATTTACCTGAAATCCCTAAAATACCCTGGCCGACTTAGGGGAAATGACAGGAATACCCTGGTCGCTTCATATTCTGCCCCTTCTCCTAGTCAGCCTTTAGATTCCTTCTTATCCTTTAATGACCTCCTGCTGACGTACTGGGGTGTATGGAGGCTGCCAAGGATTTATAGGTTCAGGAACTACTCTAGTCGACTCGGGAGATAGACACGAGTCGACTAGACTGCTCTTGACTGTCGCTCAACTTTCTCATTATTCACGTGTCGACTCGGTAGACAGATACGAGTCGACTTATACTGCTCTCGTCTCCCGGTAATCGATACCGACGAGGTCCTTTGCTTCTTGCTGAGCCGGAAACCGGCGGGTCATGAGGGACAAGTCGACTTCGTGAAAGTCGACTTAGGTGTATCCGAACCGGTATGGGACAGTAATGGCTATATCACGCTAGATGTTTAGGCGAGAGTATCAATCTTGAGCCGAACGATTAATTGCCCAACTTTGTGTATCGAACTTGAATTAATCATCCCCGATTCCCTAACATCCTTATCCTTGTGTTGTTTATATTTTTAGGTAGATTTATGTTTTTTATGTTATTTCTTAGTTGATAATTTTCCATCCCCATCTTGATTAGAATGTTTAGGATTTATTTTGTTTTTATGTGTTATCAACACCACTTCTAAATTCCGAATAGTTTTCCTCGAGAGATCGACCCGAAAAATGAATCATTCGATTTGGTGCTCGGTAAAAAGAAAATAATTTGTGCTACAATTGTGCGCTAATCATTTTGTTTCCGTGTTTCTCTTTAGTTCTCTTAAGTTTTTCGTAGGTGTATATATACTTGGAAGTTGTTTTTAGTTTACGCTCGTTTGTTAGCGGGTGCGCGTAACGCGTTATTTGTTTTTGTTTATGCGTACTAGGAGTGGTCGTGTATTCAATTCGAACGACGAGTCCATTCAACGGGATTTATGAGACTTGCTAGCCAACCTTTCTTTGGAGACACAAGACTCGAACAATCAAGTAAGCATAGCCCGTAACGAGGAAGCGGAGGTGAACAACACCCCGCGATACCTTCTTCGAGACTTGGCTCAACCTGTGATTGGGCCGGTGACTTCTTGCATTCGGCTCGGACTGGCGGCCAGAATTACGAACTTAAAACAATCCACTACGATCAACTACTGTCTTTCCATGGCCTTCCCAATGAGGACCCGCTCCACTTCATCCGGGAGTTCTACAACGTGCTCCAAACCTTTCCACTCCACGGCTTGAACGAGGACCAACTGAAAAAGCGGTGTTTTCCGAAGACACTTAAGGACCGGGCCAAGGCTTGGTTCATGACACTTGCCCCCGACTCCCTCACCACGTGGGAGCCAGTGTACTCGAAGTTCATCGGGAGATACTATTCCTATCAAAAGACTCAAGAGTTGAGGTCCCAAATCATCGGTTTTGCCCAAAAACCGAACGAGCCACTTCACCAGGCATGGGAGTGCTTCAAGGATCTCCAACGACAATGCCCACACCATAATTTTCCACCGGCTCTATTGATGAACAGTTTCTACGACTCACTCCACCAAAATCTCCAATACATGGTGGCCAATGCGGCCGGAGGAGATGTGGGAGCAAAAATGGCCGAAGAGATGATAGAAATCTTTGAGACGATGAGTGCTAACTAGTCTCAAAAGAGTAGTCGAGGAAAAAAGGCAATGGTGAACGAAGTGCCCCCTGGACAAGACATGATAGCCCATCGAATAGCCGAGCTTGCGGAGCAAATGAGAATACTTAATGTGAGAAGAGTCCAACCGGCACAAAACATGGTGGTAGAAACATGTGGGACGTGTGGCGTTCAAGGGCACCGGTCGCAAGTGTGTCCCTCTGCCTTTGACCAAGATTTCGGGGAGCAATACGAAGATGCCAATGCTCTCCAAGGATACCAAAACCGGCCAATCAACGTTCCGTACTCGAACACATACAACCCAGGGTGGAGAAATCACCCCAACTTTTCGTGGTCCAACAACAACAACGTGCAACACCCCCGACCACACTTCATGCAACAACCCAACCATCCCAACTTTGCACCCCAACAACACATGAGACCAAATTTCCCTCAACAACAACCACCGCAACGGGCCCCAATTGGGGGTATGAAAGCTCATGGTGCCGACCCGAGCTCTTTCGCCCAAGACGACAAATTAGATCGGATCCTCCACGAGAGTTTGGAGACACAAATAGGCCAACCCGCCATGAGAGTTGGAAACTTGGAGGCCTAATCTGACAAGAAGAAACTCCTGAGCCAACCCGAACAAGCCAAGGCAATCACGGTATTGAGGAGTGGGAAAGTTGTCGACAACCAAGTGAAGATGCCCGATGCGGATGACACAAAGCCAACCGACCAACCCAGGGACGTGATTGATGATTAGGAAAAGGACCCAAAGAAGCCGACGGAGGACCCGATCCTACATAAGTCTCCGAATCCATACAAACCACGCATTCCTTTCCCGAGCCACCTTTGGGATGGTAAGAAAGAAAAGCAATTTCGGGACCTCTACGATATGCTCTCAAAAGTCAATGTCAACCTACCCCTCCTTGATGTGATAAAAAGTATGCCATCCTATGTGAAATTTTTCAAAGATTTGGTGACGAAGTAACGGAAGTTCGAGGATGGGGAAAAGGTTGTGGTGTACGAGGCGGCGAGTGCTATGCATCATGACCTTCCAAGGAAGGAACGTGATCCCGGGTGTTTCGTTATCAAGATCGCCCTCAGAAATAGAAAGGAAGCTTCAGGGATGCTTGACCTTGGGGCGGGGATCAACCTTATGTCGTTTTCGATATTCCAACGACTCGGTCTTGGGGACTTGAGGCCAACCCGCATGTGCCTCCAACTTGCCGACCAATCGGTTCGGTACCCCAAGGGAGTTGTATATCTCGTTTGAGTGGGGAAGCTCATTGTTCCCGTGGACTTCATCATTCTGGACTTGGGAGATGTGCACGAGAATGGGAATGACCACACCATCCTTCTCGGAAGACCATTCATGGCTACCACCAACACCCTTATTGATGTGAAGAACGGGACTTTGATGATGACTGTCTTGGAAGAGACTGTGTCGATTTTCGTTAGGGAAGCCACCTCGGAACCTTTGGCGAACTTCATTGAGGAGTGTGCACTTGTTGATGTGATTGAACCGCTAGTTGAAGAGATGACCACGCGACAACTTGAGGAGAGAACCATGCACGATTTAGATGACAAAGATGAACCAACCATTGACCTATTTGATGCCGACCAACCCCGCACACAAGCACCCACCTTGGAGCTAAAGGAACTACCTCAACACCTCAAGTACGTGTTCCTAGACGAGGAGAAGCTTAAGCCGGTTATCATATTCGCCAAGCTCGACCGAGACGAAGAGAGCGTTGAGGTGCCTAAGAAGAATCAAAGAGCTATTGGGTGGAGTCTTGGAGACCTCAATGGAATTAGCCCTTCCACATGTATGCATCAGATCATTCTAGAAGAAGGTGCCAAGCCATTTCGGGATAGCAACGGCTGCTCTACCCGAACATGATGGAAGTTGTGAAGACAGAAGTGCTAAAACTCTATTCCGAGGGACTTATTTTTCCAGTCGCCGATAGTGAGTCGGTGAGCCCGTCATGTGGTGCCTAATAAAGAAGGCATTACCGTTATTGAAAATGAAAAGAAAGAGATAATCCCCACTTGAATCACTATAGGGTGAAGAATGTGCATAGACTACCGGCGACTCAATGCCGTGACAAAGAAAGACCATTTTCCATTGTCGTTCATTGATCAAATCCTCGACCGCCTCTCGGGACACCAATTCTATTGTTTCTTAGATGGACTTTCCGGCTACTACCAAGTGGCCATTGCACCCGAGGACCAACAAAAGACGACCTTCACGTGCCCTTTCGGCACATTTGCCTTCCGACGAATGCCATTCGGACTTTGCAATGCACCCGGGACCTTCCAAAGGTGTTTGTTCTCCATCTTCTCCGACATGCTCGAGGATTACTTATAGGTATTTATGGACGACTTCTCTTTTTCGGTGATTCATTTTCTACATGTCTCCATAATTTATCTCGTGTCCTTGAGCGTTGCATAGAGTCGAATTTGACATTGAGTTGGAAGAAGAGTCATTTTATGGTGCGAAGTGGTGTCGTGTTGGGTCATATTGTGTCTAGTCGGTGAATTGAAGTTGATAAGGCGAAAATTGATGTGATTAAAAAACTTCCCCTGCCTATGAATGTGAAGGGAGTTAGAAGTTCCTTAGGCTATGCCGGGTTCTATAGACGTTTCATTAAAGATTTTTCAAAAATTAGTCACCCATTGTGTCGCTTGCTTGCTAATG